TGTTGGGGGGGCGTTGTCAGACACCCTAATGTAAACACAACATTGTCTACATATTATGATGGAGACATACAAGGTGGGGAGGGGGTCTGATCTGCCACCCCAATATAGAGGGAACATGTCCTATACAGATTTGACAGGGGGGAGGGGTATGAGGACACCCCAATAATGTCACTGCATTGTACTATATGAATGATCTATGGTAATAAATGTCTTTTTGACACTCAGGGAGAAGCAATGGCAGCCAGATGTGGAGTACATGAAACCATACGATCGCGCCTGCTTGTACCCGGCCACCCCCGAGCAAGAGAAGTTGTTGCCGGCCCCCTGGCACGGTGAGTGATCCTGACAGGTTATTGTCATTGTTATTGTTGGGCTTTGAGCAGGAGATGAAGCCCGTCCTCGGGAAGAAACGTCTTCTGGGTTGCAAGGACAACCAGCTAGCCACCACACACAATGCAGGCTGAGTGTTGGAACCTTTCTTTCCGGGATGAGGGATGGCGGCCCTGGAACTCGCGCTTCTAACATAAGTTATGGCAGCAACAGCTTCTTCTGGGGGTCCATGCTTCGATGCTTCGTGGGGGTCCTTCTTTACCCAAAATACGCCGGTTTTATAACAAACCTCTTTTTCTTCCCCCCCACCGGACAGACAAGGATCCCCACGCACATAAGGGTGTGTCCACCCTGACCATCAATTTCGGCCCTCAGCACCCGGCCGCTCATGGAGTGCTGCGCCTGGTCATGGACCTGAGTGGGGAGTCCGTGAAGAAGTGCGACCCCCACATAGGACTGCTCCACCGCGGCACGGAGAAACTCATCGAGTACAAGACCTACCTGCAGGTAATGGGCTGGATGTGCCCGCCTGGGGGCACGGGGGAGGGGGCGACACAGGACTTTCACTGACTCCAGCCCCCATTAAATGCATTTTACAGAGCAGACCAGGTTACGTGAATCCACTCTGTGTGTTTAGTCTTAGGCTGGCCATACACATAAAGATGGAGGAATCTCCCCTGCCGGATATTGTATTCTGACAGCCGACACCCACAGCCTTCTGCATACCTAAACAGTGACTGCAGCTGATTGGTCGCAGTCTCTGTTCGACTTAATTCCACTTGACTCCTTCGATTTAGCATTCTGCTTTCCATGTAGGTAGGTGAGAGTCGGAGAGTCCTCCTCCTTTTCAAGATCTCATCTTGTATTCTAGGCCTTGCCCTACTTCGACCGCCTAGACTACGTCTCCATGATGTGCAATGAGCAGTGCTACTCACTGGCTGTAGAGAAGCTGCTGAACATCCAGCCGCCAATCAGAGCTCAGTGGATCAGAGGTAAGTGTCCTCGGAAGCCGGGGTTGCGGTACCGTGGAGGATAGAGAGCAGCACACCACCACCAATTTTCCATTATAAATTCTTCATAAGTGTAATACTGCCTTATAGCCACCAGATAGTGCTGAGGAGCATAGGTTATAAGTACGGATGTAATGTAATACTTCATTACGGCCACCAGATGGTGCTTAGGAGCATAGGGTAGAAGACCAAATGTAATACGGCCTTATGACCCCCAGATGGTGCTGAGGAGCATCGGATATAAGTACAGATGTAATGTAGTTTCACCAAGTTTTCTGCCTTTCGGTAATGTAAAACCACAACTGGGTGACGTATCGGTGTCTATTTTTAAACCATTCACCCTGCGAGTCTTTATGAATGTTAGTCCTGTGCTGTCAGACGCAAAAATAAACAAATGTAATGTAATGCAACATTATGGCCACCAGATGGTGCTGAGGAGCAAAGGCTATAAGTACGGATGTGATGCAATACTTAATTATGGCCACCAGATGGTGCTGATGAGCATAGAATCACTTCAGAAACTAACCCGCCCCTCACTATGTGAGAGAGCAAATGCAAGATTGCTTTGCGGTCACATGACCAAATTGTAAAAGCTAAAAAAACCACCAAAAAAAGGATACATTTTTGGAAAAGGAAATAATAATGGTGTCTACATAGTATGAACTTTATTAAAGTGTCTCGGTTGTTGTGTGTCACCTAATACTTTAAGCATCAAGGGCCACTCGCATCCTTTAGTCCAGGGGTAGGCAAACTACAACTCCCATGAGGCATTGCAAGACCCTGACAGCCACAGGCATGACTCCCAGGGGCAGATGCACGATGGGATAGGTAGTTTCACCACAGCCGGAGGGCTGGAATTTGCCGACCTTTGCTTTAGTCTCATCTTCAATCTCTTTCCCGTTACAGTTCTGTTCGGGGAAGTCACTCGCCTTCTGAATCACGTCATGGCGGTGGGCTGTCACGCTCTCGACGTCGGGGCCATGACGCCGTTTTTCTGGCTGTTTGAGGAGCGAGAAAAGGTAAGTTTCCACAAAATGAATAGAACGATTGCGGCTTTGACCAGCTCAGGACGGCAAGGATTTTTGGAAATGTTATTGCAGGTTGTACCTTGTGTTTTGGAAAGGTCATGACCCTGCGCGTGCAGAAATCTTTCATAATGGGTGTTAAGTAGGCGTGTCTTCCTGCTCTGTCATCACATGACTTGTCTCGGTGCAGCAAGTAGGAGTGTCTTCCTGCTCTGTCATCACGTGACTTGTCTCGGTGCAGCAAGTAGGCGTGTCTTCCTGCTCTGTCATCACGTGACTTGTCTCGGTGCAGCAAGTAGGCGTGTCTTCCTGCTCTGTCATCACGTGCCTTGTTTTGGTGCAGCAAGTAGGTGTGTCTTCCTGTTCTCATCACATGACTTGTCTCGGCGCAGCAAGTAGGCGTGTCTTCCTGCTCTGTCATCACATGACTTGTCTCGGTGCAGCAAAGAGGAGTGTCTTCCTGCTCTGTCATCACATGACTTGTCTCGGTGTAGCATTAACGAGCATTGCACCCCTTGCATCCTCCTAAATACAAAAGCCTAAGATGAGCCTGAGTTCTGCAGCCGGGGATGCCATACTCCATGCAAGAGGCTGCATGCAATTATAACTCGAGCTCTGTGCAAAAGTGTGGGAAAGGAATAGAGCCGAACAAAGGTGCAGGGGGATTCTGGGTAGTCCTGCCTATACATTGTTCTCGTTAAAGCAGCCGCCACAGGTTAACAGTCCAGATCAAATCTATTCTGATGTGTTATAAAGTAGAAGACACTTTAGCAGGGCAGACGTGCTTTGGGGGGTCACAGGCTGCCCCCAAAACAATGTATTTTGTCAGCAGCAACCTCTGCAGGTGTTGTATTTACACAGCAACTCCCGGCTGTCATTTTGACAGCAGGGAATTGCCGGAAACGCGAGGAGGAGGGCCGGCCGGGCTGGGACCTGATCACCTCCTGTGTCCCAGTGGAACTTTTGTGTTGTGGAGCTTCAATTTCGGATCCTTTTTAGTTATGAAATCATTTGTGATCCTTCTTGTCTCGGCCCCTAATTTCCTCTCCCGTCCCCTTCAGATGTTCGAATTCTACGAGCGGGTTTCTGGCGCCAGGATGCACGCCGCCTACGTCCGCCCAGGGGGAGTGCACCAGGTAATCCATTCTTTCCCCCGTTTTCACTCCTCGGAGAAGGCGAGTAACCCGAGAGCTTGACTGTCCCTTCTTGTTTCCTAGGACATGCCGATGGGTCTGATGGACGACATCTACCAGTTCATCAAGAACTTCTCCATCCGTCTGGATGAATTGGAGGAGGTGAGTCTCCCGCGGGAAGGAATGTGATGGGGCTTAGGGCCCGGGGCCCAATGGCGGCTGGGAGAGAAGGACCTGTGGAATCAAAAGCAATATTTTAGTCTGGTTAGATGAGTCCCCTATTCGCTGTTTATATCTCTTGAAACTTTGGTGGTGAGATCATCTGTGGTAGTTCTCAGAGCTCCTTGGACTGTCCCACTTGTCCTCTTGTGTGCTCCATTACATTGTAATTGCAGCAGGGATGGTGGGAGCCCCTTATAATGGGCACAGCAGGTGGGCGGAGCCGGGAACTCGGCACAGGGATGATGGGAGACCCTCATAATGGGCACAGCAGGTGTACAGACCCGGGAACTCAGCACAGGGATGGTGGGAGCCCCTCATAATGGGCACAGCAGGTGGGCGGAGCCGTGAACTCGGCACAGGGATGGTGGGAGACCCTCATAATGGGCACAGCGGGTGTACAGACCCGGGAACTCGGCACAGGGATGGTGGGAGCCCCTCATAATGGACACAGCAGGTGTACAGACCTGGGAACTCAGCACAGGGATGGCGGGAGCCCCTCATAATGGGCACAGTAGGTGTACAGACCCAGGAACTCAGCTCAGGGATGGTGGGAGCCCCTCATAATGGACACAGCAGGTGTACAGACCTGGGAACTCAGCACAGGGATGGCGGGAGCCCCTCATAATGGGCACAGTAGGTGTACAGACCCAGGAACTCAGCTCAGGGATGGTGGGAGCCCCTCATAATGGACACAGCAGGTGTACAGACCTGGGAACTCAGCACAGGGATGGCGGGAGCCCCTCATAATGGGCACAGTAGGTGTACAGACCCAGGAACTCAGCTCAGGGATGGTGGGAGCCCCTCATAATGGACACAGCAGGTGTACAGACCTGGGAACTCAGCACAGGGATGGCGGGAGCCCCTCATAATGGGCACAGTAGGTGTACAGACCCAGGAACTCAGCTCAGGGATGGTGGGAGCCCCTCATAATGGACACAGCAGGTGTACAGACCTGGGAACTCAGCACAGGGATGGCGGGAGCCCCTCATAATGGGCACAGTAGGTGTACAGACCCAGGAACTCAGCTCAGGGATGGTGGGAGCCCCTCATAATGGACACAGCAGGTGTACAGACCTGGGAACTCAGCACAGGGATGGCGGGAGCCCCTCATAATGGGCACAGTAGGTGTACAGACCCAGGAACTCAGCTCAGGGATGGTGGGAGCCCCTCATAATGGACACAGCAGGTGTACAGACCTGGGAACTCAGCACAGGGATGGCGGGAGCCCCTCATAATGGGCACAGTAGGTGTACAGACCCAGGAACTCAGCTCAGGGATGGTGGGAGCCCCTCATAATGGACACAGCAGGTGTACAGACCTGGGAACTCAGCACAGGGATGGCGGGAGCCCCTCATAATGGGCACAGTAGGTGTACAGACCCAGGAACTCAGCTCAGGGATGGTGGGAGCCCCTCATAATGGACACAGCAGGTGTACAGACCTGGGAACTCAGCACAGGGATGGCGGGAGCCCCTCATAATGGGCACAGTAGGTGTACAGACCCAGGAACTCAGCTCAGGGATGGTGGGAACCCCTCATAATGGGCACAGCAGGTGTACAGATATGGGAACTCAGCACAAGGATGGTGGGAACCCCTCATAATGGGCACAGTAGGTGTACAGACCCAGGAAATTAAAACATTGTCAGTATTTTCCCCTCTACCAAAAATGTGTGTTTTTGTTTGCAACCATGTTGTGGCGATTTCCTGTCCTGACAGGAAGTCAGGGACAGTGTCCCCAGTGGGGATATTGAAGGAAATAAACATCCTGACAGCGGCTCTACCCTTCCCAGTTCCTCCAAAAAATGAAATGAACAGTTGGTCTATTGGAGGGGATTCTAATCTCTGGTTATCATGTGATTACAGATGCTGACCAACAACAGAATCTGGAAGAACAGGACAGTGGACATCGGAGTCGTCACCGCAGAGGACGCACTTAACTACGGTTTTAGGTACGGCGCCCGTTTAGACAGCGGCGCATAGGCACAATTTGGGTTCAGCCCGGATTGCAAATCATTGTGAGATTCTCATCTCTGATCTCCCCGACATGTTTAGTCTGCAATACAATTGTCGTAGGGCTGTAATGATTAGCTGAGGTTGGGGAGGATGACTATAGAGGGAAAGAGAGTCTGTGATGAATTCTGAGGTGGAGTAGAGATGGTTACGGGGTACCTGCACTTTAAGACAAAGGGCACCTATCATTTTTGCCCTCGCCGGAACTAACCCGCCCTCACCCTCCACAGATGCATACTGACCTCAATCCTGCAGCCGCACCGGTGCATTACAGCCCCATAGAATTCTATGGGGACCGTCTCTGGTCTCTGGACACAGCCCCATAGAAGCCTATGTGGCTGTAACGCCCGGGTGCTGCCAGGACAGTGCAGAATTGCAGCACTAGATGGAAGCAATCGCCTGGGGCCATCAGATCTAGGTAGGCATCCCTTTGTGGTGGGTTAGGTTAGGTCGGGGCACTGGGAGCAAAAGAACTGGTGCGCTTTGGTTTAAATTGCACTTCTCCTTTTAAGAACCACATTTGTGCTGATGCCAAATTCACAGCAGCCTGCGGGGAGAACCCCCCCGTGATTCGGGTAAGTAGAGGGAGGGGCAGCTGGGGGACTTGGGATTGCGATATGACCGTGCTTCACCTTGAGACATGGTCGGAAAGGTAAACTTAGCCTTTAAAGGAGTTTTGCGCTCTATAACAAGATTATTTTGAGAAGCAATAAAGATTTCTTGATTGAACAGGACACAGGCAGATTCAGAGACGACTGGGTAATATGCCGATATCCAGTGATGTGAGGACCCTCCTATAACCCCTCCCACACCAGGAAATCATTTTTTTTTGCTAGTGTCCCATGAGGGAGATGTGTGTGAGGTAGCTTGCCTTTCTTTCCTGTGATACTTCAAGCAAGTTCCTACTACGTCCAGCCATGGTGGCGACTTCACAGCTTCTGGATCAGTGGTGCACCTCAACAGCTTCGTGGGACCGTACCTGGACAGCAGACATGGCCGACTTGTAATGTCATTTTGGGCTCCGGATTGTGCGGTAGGCTCCAACCTTGGCAGGTAGTACCGAGCCTTGGGTTACCTGCAGGGTATTATACAGTGTAGTGGTCTATGCACACCGGCTTGAGCCTATCCCCGAAGACTCCATTAGGGGTATGCCCGCTGCAAGGTGCTACAGGCTGCTGTTGGGCATGCCCCCTTGTTCTACGGGCCTGTCTGTAGTAGTTTTTCTGTGCTGTCCACCCTTAAAAAAAAGCTTTTTTTATTGTGTCATCAAGAAAATTGGACTTGCAAGTAAAATCCGTATCTTGGGGTGCAGGACACTGGAACCAATGTTTTCTATTGCTTGCTAAAAAAAAAACCTGATGATTTCCTCGTGGGAGGGGTTATAGGGCTCCTCACGGCTCTGATCAGTGTCCAATCAGTTGATGATACCGGCATATTACCCAGTTGTCTCTGAATCTGCCTGTGTCCTGCACTACACTCCAAGTGGCGGATTTTGCTGGAAAGTCAACCAAAGCTTTCAGGATTGCTTCTCAGACACACTCCCCAATTCAGGTCTTGTCAAAATACTCGCCCCCCTGGCTGTCATGCCAATCCAATGGCTTCAGTACTTTGAGACCATATTTTGATTTCTAGGCCAGCTGGGGGTTCAGAACATCTAAGGCGGCCTTTATTTTAGCCGCCTCAGATGTAATTTCATATGACGTGACCTGATGTCAGTTTAGGGTACCCTGTGTGCTTTCTCTAACTCTCTTCTCCTCCCTCAGCGGAGTAATGCTCCGAGGCTCCGGCATCCATTGGGATCTGAGAAAGTCGCAGCCGTACGACGTTTATGACCAGGTGGAATTTGATGTCCCCATCGGCAGTAAGGGAGACTGTTACGACAGGTAAAGGGGAGGGTATGGTGCAGATTCAAGGTGTTTCCTCCTTACCTGGTTGTCATGCTGTCACTCACTGTAATTAACCCCCCTGCTAGTGTGGTATTTCTGCTTGTTGATGGGCAAATTGGCATGTTCATTTGACCACTTCACATCATTGCCATGTGCCTGATGAAAGTATATGCATCGGCATATGGTCTATACCAGTAGTTGGAAATGTAGCATATTTGCATAGCCACAGACTTTCTTTTTTTTAATGATTTCACATATAGGAAGAAATAAAAATACTCCTTTTTATTCAGGCTGGGTAAAGGCCGTATTGGGGAAGATTTAAGAGTAGGGATGCACCGATACTGGTTTTCCAGTATCGAGTACGAATACCGATACTGGAAGTCCCATTAAGGAGGGCGTATAATGACTCGCCATCCAGCTTCCCGATTAGCAGGGAATCTGTCCCCATGCTTCACGTCACTACGTGACGAGAAAGCATGGAGCCGGCTTTCTGGCCAATCGGGAAGGCGGGCGACGTGTAATGACGTGGCGCCCGGCTTCCTGATTGGCCTGGGAAGCTGGCTCCATGCTCCCTCGTCGTAAGGAGACGAGGGAGCGTGAAGCCGGCTATCCGGCCAATCCGAAAGCCCCAGGTCGGGAAGCTAGTCAATCAGAAAGCCTGTTTGGCTGGGAAGCCGGCTCCATGCTCCCTCAGCACTTGTGAGGGAGCCGGCTCCATGCTCCCTCAGCACTTGTGACGAGGGAGCATGGAGCCGGCTTCCCGGCCAATCGGGAAGCCCGGCAGCGTGTAATGACTCGCGGCCGGCTTTCTGATACTGTAGTATCGTGCTAGGTATCGGAGCATTTGGCCGAGTACGAGGACTCTGCACCAATACTAGTGTCGGTGCATCCCTATTTAAGAGTTTTGCGAAGTTCAGCTTTCATTCTTGTAATATCTTCACAGCTTCGATGGCTGAACAGGAAGTATAAGGCTTGACACATTGGCTTTAAAATAAAAAAAATTACATCAAAAGCTATTTCCCCCCTTATTGGCTCGCGATGTGACACAAGCTCCGCCTTCCTTCTCCCGCCAGGTATCTGTGCCGCGTGGAGGAGATGCGACAGTCCCTGAGGATCATTCTTCAATGCCTCAACAAGATGCCCGAGGGGGAGATCAAGGTGGACGATGCCAAAGTGTCTCCCCCAAAGAGGTCTGAGATGAAGGTGGGTGGAAGCAAAAAGACGGACAGAAAGTTTTTAGTTTTTTTTTAAATTGATACAAAACAGATGCTGTGGGCACAGCGTGTAGTGCCGCGGTTCTCAACTGGTGGGTCGCGACCCTATGTTTAGTGGGTCGCGGCATGCATTTCACTGCACTAGGTGAGAGGCTCCTCCGTAGTGCAGCACTGTCAGTTCTCGAGGCCGAGCAGCCATTAAAAATATGCTGCCCGGTGCGGAGTGTCATCTTGGGGTGGGCTGGAGCTATGGCCGTGAGGGAGCTCATTCCATACGTGCATTGCTTACAGCACCCTTGCATGTCCTGTAGAGGTGCCTGGACCGGAGTGACGACACATTTTGGCTCCCAACACCTCTACAGGGAGCGCAAGGGAGCTGTACAAGCAATGCACGTATGGATGGAGTACCATCACAGCACAGCAGCCCACACTGCACCCCTAAATTGTTTATGGAGAATGTGGTTGTCTGTGTCTGTCGCTGTTTTAATCGCAAACTACCACGCAATCGCACCTACTGGTGGGGGAGGGCGCTGCGTTGCAATTCATTTTAATGGCACCCTAAACACACCTCCTGCCCACAGTTTGATCGATTGCACTGGAACATGCGGTACCGCACTGCTGTGCGTTCCAGTGGGGTGCGACTTGGGTCGCGATTTATTGACCAAGGACCTGAGGTTAAACACTTTGAGAAGCACCGGGTGTAGAGGGTAGGTTGCCATTTTGTCTTCAGATTCTGCTTGGTACTACTGGAGGTTGTGCGGGATTTTGGGCCATACTGACCTGGGCAGTACATGATCAGTCTGAGCCCTTGACACAAGATGGAAGATTCAAGCCGATTTATATCCAATTCTAAATCCATGCTGCAGCACAAATCAAAAATCAATCAGACCCGGCGACGTTCTTTCTAATCCTCCATCTCCCAATTTTGGGAGCCCACTGTAGCTTCAATTTACTGTCCTTAGTAGATAGCTGGTATTCTGCTGCTCTAGTCTATTGTCCTTTATCATTCCCCATGTGGGG